CGTTGCACACTACGTCTTTGTCACGCTACCTCTCCCCCCGCGCTTCCCGCAGTCGTCAAACTCGTGTCGGTGTGTGGCTTATCTGTCCGACGTGGACGGAAACGGCGTTGCCGCAGGGCGACCCGGACATGCATGGTCACATAACAATGCGACTTGTTACACGGGTCTGTCAGTATGATCTGTCTCGGTGATAGCTGTGCTTTACATGCCACTATACTGCTCACTACCACCCAGGGATTGCCACATGAACAGGGGATGATATCTACGTCACGCCTTTCATGTTGTTGCTGTTGTTGTTTTCATATTGATAAACCGGATAAAAATCAAAATTACACTAACAGTATAAATCAATAAAGAATCAGAAAGGTCTATACGAATGTGATTTAATAAAAGTTATGGTGTAATAAAGTAAAAAAATATTTTCAATTGACGTTGCCGTTCATTGTAATGGATTCGATAAATATATTGAGTATCAGTATTTTGGTTATTATATCACCACTTATGTATGAGGGCTAACAACTAGACACGAAGGAAGGAAATCTCCTAAATATTAAAATCTGCATTTAATTGAATTGAATTTTATGTACCTCTGTGAAGACCCGGATTAAAATTGATCTTCCGCGATCCATGATTATTGTAAGAGGAGATTAAGGGGGTCGGGTGGTCAGGCTCGCTGACTTCGTTGACACATATCATCGTGTCCCAACTGCGTAGATCGATGCTCATGAAGATAATGGCTGGATTGTCTGGTCCAGACTCAATTATTTACAAACCGCCGCCATATAGCTGGAATATTGCCGAGTGCGGCGTAAAACAACAATGAAACAAAGAAACTTTAGAACATCCATACTGGAAACTGTATTGTGTGCCTCGTAGATTGTCGCTAAGTGAGCAGGGCAAAGTTATTCTGGGTGCATAATCTCGATCAGTTACAGTCACCAAATGCAATTTGGCAGAACTGAGTGATCGAAAGAGATATGTTAGCGTTTATAGAATTGCGATTAACACAAGCAGCACCTCGGTGTGATCGATTTGAGTTGTTCAAACATTGCCTTCACTGTATAAATGATGGATCATTTCTGGATCAATGAAGAAAAATGTGCGCAAGGAGAATGTTACACTTTGCCCTGGCCTGACAGAAGAGATAATTATCCATGGGAATATGTTTTGTTGAGATCTGTTTTTGATAACCCAGTGAAATGTCGCCGTTTTAACTCTTTCTGTCCTGGGGATCCCACTGGAAACGAGGACGTGCAATGTCCGTGGTTTTCCTATATTTTCCTCATGTCGTTTTATGTTGACTTATTAAAGGAGGAACAATTTATGGATAGACAACTTCTTTACTGCAATAGATACGATGTTTCGACTGACTGACTGACTGAGTTTAGTTTTACGCCGCTTTTAGCAATATTCCAGCAATATCACGGCGGGGGACACCAGAAATGAGCTTAACACAGTGTGCCCATGTTGGGAATCGAACCCGGATCCTCGGCGTGACGAGTCAACGCTTTAACCACTAGGCTACCCCACCGCCCCTACGATGTTTCGATGTAGATGCTAGCGTTGTTATGAAGCAAGTCATGAAGATTGATCCAATATTCATCATACAAGCTTCTAAATGCCACTGAAAGAAATCATCAACTAAATAAAAGTCAGGAGAGTAAGTGAGTGAGCTGTGTTTGACTCCGCGTCAAGCCATGTTGCTGCCATATTGGTTTCTTGAGGTCATCAATAATGAACTCAACATGTTGCAGCTGTACTGAGGATCAAACCTGGCGTTAGTGTGAAGCGGATACCTCAACTACTCCCCTAACCTATGTCGTCAGAGTTTATCTGTGAAATATCTTGTTTCTCGCGATATCATTGTCTTCATGTAACCTAGCAACCACCATGTAATTTGTCTCAATAAAGGAGGAACTTGCCACCACTATATCCATTGTTGGCGTTTTATGCTCATTAAAACGGAAGGTTTCACCTCTATTGGAGTCACCCCACTCACAGGTAATCTTGTAGATCACTTCTTTGAGGGGTTGTATTTTGGAGGGTAGGTTACAGCCTTAGGTTGGAGAATGTTATACAGTATCAACTTGTTTTTACTGGTTTTACGACTTAAAACAGTGAAACACTCTCGCCTATGCATGTAATTTGGCCGGGTGATAGACTGTGACACACTCTCACATATTCTAAAATAAAGACTCAGACAGAAAACACATCATCATCATCATCACTGCTTTATGCCAATCTGTATCACTCTGGGAGATGTCAGATAGCAATCAGCATTGATTGCTCTGACAACGCTACATATAGGACAGTCGTTACCATCAGGGGGAAACTCTACAGTATTAGCTTTGTTTCCTCCACGAGTGTTACTGGCGAGTGACAGAAGGTCCTTGTGTCTGTCGCCTCTTAAAGAATCAAGTATGAGCGCGTCTCGCCAATAACTTCAGTCTGGCCCAATCTATTCCACGAACTAACTTCCATTCTATAAATCCAAACGTCCACAGTCGGTGAGTCGGTGGGTGAGTGAGTGATACCGTGAGGGGTTTTGGTTAGGCGGATGACTATGTGGGGGTAGGGTTTGGAAAGTCATTTGTATGTGTGTGTGTGTGTTTGTGTGTGCGCGCATGTGTGTGTGAGACATGAAATGTCAGCTGATGTAGGATTGAATTCCGAAGTGATTCCACTTGTTACCATTTCAACAACAAATATAAGCGTCATATTCTTTACATAGTCATTATAATTTCTGTGTTTATATTTACACCCATCCAGTGATAATTTATTGCTATCGTGTCTACTGTGATGACCTATTCAGACTGAAACCACATATGCTTTCAAGCATGTGAGTGAGTGAGTGAGTATGGTTTTAGCATATAGTAAAATCATGGCGAGGGACACCAGAAATGGGCTTCACACAGTGTGCCCATGTGGGGAATCAAAATGTATGGCATGGACAACAAAGCGTCTGTAGCCTAGCATGCAGGTATTCACACAATTTCATACATATTGGCTTTCGTTTTGACTGGTTGGTTGGTTGCTGTTTAACGCCGCACCCGGCAATATTCCAATATGGCGGCGGTTCGTTTTTACTGACGCTGGTGTTAAGATACTATATGGTGGGACCTCCTGAACATAATGTTTTTTGTGAGTGCAAATATTGTGCTTTATGAAGCCTTGTAACAGTTCAACTGCATGGTAGGGCGCTGATCACAATCGGGTGGATCTAAACCTCAAGACCTGCAGATCTTAGCAACCAAGGGAGACGACTCTTGTGATGTCACTGGGCAACCGTATATAACAGAACCTTGGTTCTAGCATGTTCTGTATTTGTCAGTGGGTTGGTTGGAAATCTTCCCTGTGATGTGTTTACGCGTCCAGTGATAGGATTTTTGATTGAGGTTAAAGGTTAAATTGGATAAAGTTCCTTGTGTTGCTGAACATATAACAAAACCGGATATCCCTTCACTTGTTTTGCTAGGACAATGACATAAACCCACGAGAGACTAAGTGATTGAGTGAGTGAAAGAAAGAGCGACAGAGTGACTGAGTGGATGAAAGGAGGAGTGACTGAGTGAGTGAGTGCATGAAATGAGTGACTGAGTGAGTGAGTGAAAGAAAGAGCGGCAGAGTGACTGAGCGGATGAAAGAAGGAGCGGCAGTGTGACTGAGTGCATGAAATGAGTGACTGAGTGAGTGAGTGGATGAAAGGAGGAGTGACTGAGTGAGTGAGTGAAAGAAGGAGTGGCAGTGTGACTGAGTGGATGAAAGAAGGAGTGGCAGTGTGACTGAGTGCATGAAATGAGTGACTGAGTGAGTGAGTGGATGAAAGAAGGAGTGGCAGAATGACTGAGGGGATGAAAGGAGTGGCAGAGTGAGTGAGCGGATGAAAGGAGTGGCAGTGTGACTGAGTGAGTGAGGGGATGAAAGAAGGAGTGGCAGAATGACTGAGGGGATGAAAGGAGTGGCAGAGTGCCTGAGTGGACGAAAGAAGGAGCGGCAGAGTGACTGAGTGAGTGAAAGAAGGAGTAGCAGAGTGCCTGGATGAAAGAAAGTGACTGAGTGAATGAAAGGAGTGGCAGAGTGACTGAGTGAAAGAAAGTGACTGAGTGAGTAAAGGAAAGAGCAGCAGAGTGACTGAGTGAGTGAAAGAAGGAGAGGCAGACTGACTGAGTGGATGAAAGAAAGAGTGACTGAGTGGATGAAAGAAGGTGTGGCAGAGTGAGTGAAAGAAAGAGTGACTGAGCGGATGAAAGAAGGAGTGGCAGAGTGAGTGAAAGAAAGAGTGACTGAGTGGATGAAAGAAGGAGTGGCAGAGTGAGTGAAAGAAAGAGTGACTGAGTGAGTTAGTGAAAGAGTGACTGAGTGAGTGAGTGAAAGAAAGTGAGTAATTGAGTAAATTTTGGAATCATTGAAGGACTAAAAGACGGAACGAGTGTGTGAATAATTGAGTAAGTTTTAGAGTAAGTGAGTGAATGACTGCATGTGGCCATTGTAACTAACTAACCACTCCTCTAGTCGCAAAGAGGATGTTAAATCTACTCCCATAAAAAAGGTGATTTGAAACATTTCACATTTGCATATTTTCATGGTTCGTCTGACCGTCTCCGTCTGTCAGGATCACAAGAGTTAACAAGGGGGCATACATGTTAATGCAAATCCTTCTCCAATTCTGATTCAAGATCCATATCGAAAACTAAGGGTCAGTCATGAAACGCTGGCGATAAAACTTTACTCTGAGTGAAATAGTCTGCCCTGGGGAAATGCAGAAACATATTTATTCCTGCCTAATCGTGTCGCAATGGTAAAAGACGGGGCATGGAATCACACAGACCAGCCATCGCTCCTAAATCAACAGTTATGAAAATGTATGAGGAAAAAGTACAAGGTCACGCTCGGAACGCAGTCCTAGTCTATCGCCAGCGAATCTGTTTGCGTCGCGATTGACTAGGAAGGAAATTTGAATTTCGAGATAGCATAGCTAGCCTTGATGTTAATTTCATTATCGTTAGTGCAAGGCTAGCTTCCGGACCAGAGAGTTCTAACGCAGGACCTTCCGTGAACGGTAGTAACATCCCCGCTATGACTGCGACGCGCTCGTTGGGTCTTCTCTGGCTTGTGTGTCTCAGTGTGGGTGAGTATTCTTCATTTATATCTTCATGTTATCAATATGTAACGGACGTTTCGTTTCAACTGATCATGTCACTGTATTAGGTCTACTTTTCGTGTATCTATATTTTATCTTTCGCTTATGGATAGCAATAATTGTTTACAATGTTCCTGTACGCCAGATTTTGTTTAATATGCGGTTTCAATAACTATTGCGATGTGTGTTGGATTGTGTGTCCTTTAACGCCTCACTCAGCAATATTCCAGATATGTGTCGGCACTCTGTAGTCGGTCCCGTTAAGTCGCCTTTTACGACAAGCATGGGTTACTGAAGATCCTAAACCGGATCTCCCTCTAAACCAGATCTTCATGGGTTGGATCTTCTGAAGTAAAATAATTAAATATTTTATACACAAACTGGTGGTGTATACCTTTCTAACATTGACTGCATTGGCAGGGTTCTATTAATAAGAGCAGGTTGTCAATCCCAGCCCGGAACATTCTGACCCGGATATTCACGGGTGTTGCCGCTTAATTGTCGGTCTTTGTCGAAGGAGTAAGTGGCTTGGCTCTGTTGTCACTTTGAGGCGTATTTTAGTTATATCTGCCATGGCAGCCTGTTATTTGAGAGATTCCAAAAGTACTGCAAGTGCTGGACGTGTAATGTTCTGTAAAACCACAAGCACTCGTTACTCATTATAATAAAACCAGGATTATTTTCTGGAGTATGTGGGCATCTACAATTTGTCTCACGTCATTGTTAAGATGAAGACAATGATGAAGATGATGCAGACATTTACGACATTTGAGACATGGAGCCATCTACATATCCTGACAACACCGAGGCTTTTATCGTGGTCTCGAACACGAATACGTTAAAAACTAAATTGGTGTTATTTAAAGCTAGGGAAAAGCTAAAAATATAAATGTCTCATAAATCTGACCAGATACTTTGAGTTATTGTTTTTGAATAGAGTTATATCGTGATATCGATACACCACGTCTGTTATAACTTCATCTTACATGCCATGTCTATATCGAACTTCGTATAAGCCGATTTCCGGGCCAACAAGAGCCAGCTGACCAACCCACGGACCATTGTGACATATTGACCCTGTGACCGTCATAATTAATGATGCATGAAACCTTTACATTAATTATTGCTTACATATTCATTAAACATTAAAATTTCCTCTGTTTTTTTATAATTGTTGTGTGTGTATTATTGGATTCAACTATTTGCGCAGTGGGGTTGTCTATTTCCTTGTTTAACGTGACCTGGGGCTAAAAGTCCTTATAACGAGGCTATACATATCCTTGTGGCGAGTGGAAAACACAGATGTCTGTAGCAGCGGCAGCGACAAGGAAAACAAGCCAATTAGAAAAAAAGCAGTCTATGCACCGACTCGGTTGTATTGAGGCGAGTGTTCGCGCATACTGTAATCTGACGTTTCAAATGTTGTCAAATATCTCCTCAACTACTGACATTTTAGGCTGCTTATATAGGAACTACTGAACCGGTTTTCACAAAGAGACTCTTGTTTATACCACACCAGACTTCCGGGTTCGCTGGTCGAGTGGTTGAATTCTAGATGCAGCCTCTTTCTAGGTTTGCCTTTACCGTTATCAGAATCTACAGCTTGGCTCCTGGGACTTGAAGACGAAGGGTGAAAACAACAGTTTAAGAAGTAAAGGTTTTTGTTAAGCATACCAAATAGATTTGGCTTTCACGAATTTGACTCCATTCCGTCTCGTTACCAACTGATCAAGGCTTCTGTTTTTTTCGCCGAACATCAAACAATTACATCGACTATCTGCCGACAAGACGCTATTTCAGTTAAATGGAATTGAACTCGAAAACGTTTAAGGGAGCTTTTAATTGAAGACCAGACTGTTCAGAGCTCGCACGCTGCCTCTGTGGGAGAATATGTTCATATTCATTCTGGGCAATGTTGAAAGGATAGACTGGGGAGTTGGTTAATCTGCTCTCAAGTGCTGTCCGTGAAGTTCAAAAACACCAAGAGACTTATATAGATTTGTCAAGGGACTTCATGCTTCCAATCTGGTCTATATTCTTAACAGAAGACGTTTTAACGTAGTGGAATCAATAGCTAATCACCAGGAGCGGAGACACCCAGTGGCCCCACATTAGGAATCGAACCCGGTATTCAGCGTCACTACGAATGAGTGAGTCAGTGAGTGAGTGAGTTTCTAGTTTAACGCCATTTGTAGCAATATTCCAGCAATATCACGGCGGAGGACACCAGAAACGGGCTTCACACATTGTACCCGTGTGGGGAATAGAACCCAGTATTCAACGTCATTTCGACCGATCCCTTAACCACTACACTATCCCATCGACTCGTTTATATATAGAACCGGCTTACCACAGGATTTCAGCTTCCAATATTTGTGGTGAGAAACTAACTCGATCTGGTGTTCACGCTAGTTGTCATGGGTGATGCGTGTCGTTTCCAAAATGTATAGATGCTCTTGATGTCAATCACTAGAGTTAAACAACAAACCGAATTTATTCCACAAAGATCAATTTTCCATTATCATCAGTAAACAGCGTTAATTTCGAAATTATCATACTCGAATCACTTCTAATCGGCACTATAGTTTTTCTCAATCCGTTTGTGTTGAATTATGGATGACGTACTTCACATATTTATTTCTAGGTACTTCGAGTTATCGATGTTTAATGTACTATAATGCATCACTTGCAAACTCTAACCTATATGATTTTTTTAATAGATACCAGTTATTCGACATATATGTAGGTGCTATATTATCTAATGAGCTGTATCTAAATATATACGTACGTTATCCCGAATTCAGTCTCTCTTATCTTGTGGTATTTTTATGAAATTGGCATGCTATATGTAACACATGCTTGATTCGACGAAACAGCTTCCGAACAGTTTCACGCAAGCCAATCTTAATTCATGAGACGGAATATCTGTAAGCGGGGAAATGTTCTGATGTCAACTTCCGTATTTCTCAACCCATTTCGGAGCATCGTCTCACTCCCAGTTCACTACTAGTTCAGTTGTCCACCCTCAGTATCGTCTCACTCCCAGTTCACTACTAGTTCAGTTGTCCACCCTCAGTATCGTCTCACTCCCAGTTCACTACTAGTTCAGTTGTCCACCCTCAGTATCGTCTCACTCCCAGTTCACTACTAGTTCAGTTGTCCACCCTCAGTATCGTCTCACTCCCAGTTCACTGCTAGTTCAGTTGTCCACCCTCAGTATCGTCTCACTCCCAGTTCACTACTAGTTCAGTTGTCCACCCTCAGTATCGTCTCACTCCCAGTTCACTACTAGTTCAGTTGTCCACCCTCAGTATCGTCTCACTCCCAGTTCACTGCTAGTTCAGTTGTCCACCCTCAGTATTGTCTCACTCCCAGTTCACTACTAGTTCAGTTGTCCACCCTCAGTATCGTCTCACTCCCAGTTCACTACTAGGTCAGTTGTCCACCCTCAGTATCGTCTCACTCCCAGTTCACTACTAGTTCAGTTGTCCACCCTCAGTATCGTCTCACTCCCAGTTCACTCCTAGCTCAGTTGTCCACCCTCAGTATTGTCTCACTCCCAGTTCACTACTAGTTCAGTTGTCCACCCTCAGTATCGTCTCACTCCCAGTTCACTACTAGTTCAGTTGTCCACCCTCAGTATCGTCTCACTCCCAGTTCACTGCTAGTTCAGTTGTCCACCCTCAGTATTGTCTCACTCCCAGTTCACTACTAGTTCAGTTGTCCACCCTCAGTATCGTCTCACTCCCAGTTCACTACTAGTTCAGTTGTCCACCCTCAGTATTGTCTCACTCCCAGTTCACTACTAGTTCAGTTGTCCACCCTCAGTATCGTCTCACTCCCAGTTCACTCCTAGCTCAGTTGTCCACCCTCACTATCGTCTCACTCCCAGTTCACTCCTAGCTCAGTTGTCCACCCTCAGTATCGTCTCACTCCCAGTTCACTACTAGTTCAGTTGTCCACCCTCAGTATCGTCTCACTCCCAGTTCACTGCTAGTTCAGTTGTCCACCCTCAGTATTGTCTCACTCCCAGTTCACTACTAGTTCAGTTGTCCACCCTCAGTATCGTCTCACTCCCAGTTCACTACTAGTTCAGTTGTCCACCCTCAGTATTGTCTCACTCCCAGTTCACTACTAGTTCAGTTGTCCACCCTCAGTATCGTCTCACTCCCAGTTCACTCCTAGCTCAGTTGTCCACCCTCAGTATTGTCTCACTCCCAGTTCACTACTAGTTCAGATGTCCACCCTCAGTATCGTATAACTCATGACAAATAAAAAAGACTTGTAATAAAAGACATGTGCATATATTAGTAGCATCAGGCCAAAATAAACAGTATAAAGGAAATGTTGCTATTTTGATTAATGAATAATAAAGTTTCTTCACTACCACGAATATAAACTGTGGAGTTTGGTGCTATCCCGTTGTGAAAGGGTTCCTGTTCTGTTGTATTAATGAGAGTACAACTGACCCTACACGTCATCCATGTATCTTACAACAGTCAGATTACAATTAAGGATGACAAGCCACGCTATGGCAGGTTGCTGCCTCCTCCGTAGCGCTCCATTTCACGAGTGAAACCACGGTGTGTGTGTTCTTGTCCTCGTCCAAGGGGACCCTTAGCCAGTCAAGTAGCTGCAACGCCTCACGCGCCGGGACTAATCTAACCTGGCCCACGATATCTGCAATCTGGGTACACGATGTCTGTAATCTAGCTTCACGATGTCTGTATTCTAGCTTCACGACGTCTGTAATCTGGCTTCACGATATCTGCAATCTGGGTACACGATGTCTGTAATCTAGCTTCACGATGTCTGTAATCTAGCTTCACGACGTCTGTAATCTGGCTTCACGATGTTTGTAATCTTGCTTCACGATGTTTGTAATCTGGCTTCACGATGCTTGTCTTCAAGCTTCACGATATCTGTAATCTGGCTTCACGATGTCCGTAATCTGGCTTCACGATGTTTGTAATCTAGCTTCAGGATGCTTGTCCTCAAGCTTCACGACGTCTGTAATCTGGCTTCACGATGTTTGTAATCTGGCTTCACGATTTTTGTATTCTAGCTTCACGATGTCTGTTATCTGGTTTCACGATGCCGAATATGGCTTCACGATGTCTGTATTCTAGCTTCATGATGTCTGTAATCTAGCTTCACGATGTGTGTAATCTGGCTTAAGCACAAAGTCTGTTGGAGAATGTCGCCGCTCTGTACGGTCTCTCTCACACCATGAACACGCAATCTGCTTGTTATTTTCTGTCGACTGATTCGCTAATGCCGTGTCCGTGGATGAAGTTACCGTCAGAAACGTTTGCGTAAGAGCAAAGTTCGAAACATCGCTTTTGTCTATCTGAATAAATCGAGTCATCAAAATACCTGTTGTAGCTCTGGAAAAGCCATCTGTTCTTTCGATATGGGATGCCCCCATGTGTATCGTTCCAGTTGCTCGATCTGCAGTCATGCAGTTCTGTTGGTGGTTTTCTCCTGATGTGCATGCTCTTCTGGTTTTGGTAAACGTTTATAAGCAAAGCACGCGTGATTCTACCGATTTGATGGCTGCATAAGTGTAAGGAGTATGCGAACAGTTGATTGAGTTGAAGTGATGTGTTTGGCCCGTTCTTTATACACGTGCTGACATTATACTAGTTATACTTGTGTAATGTGTAACGTTTCTTATGAAGTTCAGTATAGATAAGCAGCACGTAATAATCTTCCAGTTAATACAATTAATGTTTAAACAGCTTCCACACGACTACGTGTATGTATGACTTCGAAAAACATTCGCGACGAAACATCTTTTAGTGATGACGGTAGTGGTGATACACGACTTGATGAATGTATCGCTCAACTTCAGCCGTGTTTGCATGACCTCCTTGACGAGATACGGCTCAGTTAATTGGGTGGACGTGATGGATGTACTTGTCTGTTGTAAGCCGAAACATTAGAGCGAGTGGTTATCTCCGCGTTAATAGACTGACTCAACACACCATAGATTACACAACAGGCCCACAAAACACAACACGCAAACTGCGGCGGTTTTAGGTCTTGGTTTCAGCTTCTTTGGAGCCACAGTAATAAAATTTTAACTAATTTGCGTCTCTTTTTCTTTCTGAAAAAGTTTAAGTTTCTTTGTAGTTTTCTGTCTGCTTCATCTTTGAAAGATTAGACTATTTAAAAGACGCCACTTCTAATTTCTCATAAGGATTATATGCCTTGATTAATCCGACCAGGGGGTAGCATAGTGGACAAAGCGTTCTCTCGCCACGCTAAAGGCCCGTGTTCCAGGCCTATTAAGTACGAAGTGTAAAGCCTATTTGTGATAGGGTAGCCAAGTGGTTAAAGCATTCGCTCGTCACGCCGTTGACCTGGGTTCGATTCCCAACATGGGTACACTGTGTGAAGCCCATTTCTGGTGTCACCCGCCGTGATATTGCTGGAATATTGCTAAAAGTGGCGTACAACTAAACCTCAGTAAACAATCTGAAGATAATGCTAAAGCGACACCACACCTACCCACTCACACGTTCTACAGAGACGAAAAAAATAAAAATTAAAAATTAAAATACCCCCCGCCCCCACCAAAAAAACCAGTTACGTATGTGAAATTAGTTGTGTTAAACCGAAAAAGTAACAACTGATTTGTGAAGAACAGTGAGTCAGTGAGTGAGTGAGTGAGTGAGTGAAAGCTGTGTACCTTTGTTTGCACAATGAAAACTTAAAGGATGTCGGTTATGTTGTGCCATGTTCTGTGAGGAATGCACCAAATTCAAACCATAAAGCTCCCCGTGATAGACCATGACCTACTGAGGTCCACCCTGCACCTCCCCATCCCTCACCAAAACTGATTTTTGTCTGAAGCCCCAGGACGTCCTGGAAATAATATAGAATATTAACAATGTAACTATAGGGATCCACTACCCCTTTTTATCATATTCATGGTGGTACCCAAGTGATGCCATTTCCACGAGAATATCATTGAAACTGTAGCACTTATCTAACCGAATGTAGTTCAGGTACCCTAATGTTGAATATTCACTCCACCCAGATCACTCTTAATATTAATAAATTATATATTCTGCACATATTCTTGGGATATATTCACATACAGTAGGTATATTTTCCTCTTGTTATTAGCGCGAATATGGAATTCCAAGTTACCATCATACGTTCCAAACATCCGAAGCAACATTTATATGTATGCCGTCTCATGTTTCATGTGAAGCATCCCTGGCACAAGGTCAAGGCTGTTCCAAGGAGTTTCTGGACAAGGTGCAGGTGTGCCACGACGAGCTGGACGGCCTGCCACGTCTCCTGCACGACACCCTCCTGGCGGTGGACAATTTTGAGAAGATTACAGCTCATTGCAGGTTTGTACTATAGCATGAACTGATCTGGGGCTTTTTCCAAAACAGCACGAACAGCATCGTGTGCGTGATGCAAAAACAGCCCACATATCGTGTTCAAATGCAGCATTTTCAGCGCTTCAGGTTCAGAGACGAATCAGACAGATGTGTTTAAGTATTACACCTGCCTGTCTGTGTAATTACATAATGTGACAGAGAGCGAACTCGGGCCATAAATCAATGCGTTTTGTTTATGGTGTATAGCCTGATTGGTGTTAAGTTCAAATTGCATGTGGTCAGTGATCGCAGTTGTGTATTGAATATTGTCATTAGCAGACAGGCAGGCAGACACACAGGTGTCAATAAAACAAGACATTGAGTTTTGTCTGTGACAGCGACATATCTATATCACAGTTAGAAATTGTGTCAACGCTAAATAATGACATTGCTTTTAAGTATCGAACTGAGAAAGTGACTCGGTAAGAAGAACGTGTGGTGAAATAGACAAATGAAATTATATAAACAGTTTATTTACTGTCATAACATATAAAAAAGCTCGCGCCTGTGAGATATCAACAAAACATTATGAAAATAGCTCACACCAAAGCCTTCACCGAGTATTCACCAGACAGCCCGCTTCCAAGTTGCGCGAACCTATTTCACTGCGCACGTGCTATGAGCGCAGCCCAGCTGTTGAAACCCGTATTCCCCAGAAAAGTCTGGGGAAAATTAGTGAAACGTTTGAACTCTGATTTCGCGCGTTTTTTTTCATCGCGTTATTTTTCAACTTTATAAGTTGAATTTGCATTTTTTGACGCTTTGTTTCGGTAAGTCCATACCGAAAGGTATCAGAATCTGCAAAGTTGTGTTTTACGTTGCATGTGACCTTTAACGGGTTATGAATTACTCCGAAATGGTCGATAGGACCAGATGCCTACAGAAGGCAGTCGTCTCATTACTGTGTTCTTGCTTATGCTGATGATGAAACTGAGCATCCGGTTCCGTAGATGGACAAAGAGCAGGTGATGGTCATCTTGTCTTCCAGTTCTGGGACTGTCAGATGCCTGGCCAGTCTGGTTGACGCGTCTCATTGGTCTGATGATGGTCGACCGTATACAGCCGAATATTCCGGCAATATGGGTGTTCGAAGCCCTCATCAGCTGCCACAGTCTAACGTCTTGTTCTCGGGGGCAGTGGGGTAGCCTAGTGGTTAAAGCGTTGGCTCGTCACGCCGAAGACGCGGGTTCGAATCCCCACATGGGTACAATATATGAAGCCCATTTCTGGTGTCCCCCGCCGTGATGTTGCTGGAATATTGCTAAAAGCGGCGTAAAACCAAACTCAGTCAGTCAGTCAGTCTTGTTCTCGCTCCGCTGCTGGTGATCTTGGCATTTTGATGTTTGCCTTAACAGGTACACTCCTAACAATCTCAGTCGACACTGTGTTTCATACTGTTGGCGTGTGTGTTTTGGCAACATGTACACAATGCTTGTGACTTTTGATCATGACACTTAAAAATAATCCCCAAACACCAGGTGTGAATTTCTTTTCTACATCAGTCTATATCGACTAGCACCTGATAGTACCTGAAGTACAAGCAGGTGCACTCGAGATGCACATAAACACTGCACATGATATACACGGTATACAAATATGCAAACAGGTTTGATATGAAGACAGCGTTATCAACACTCAGAACAATGAGTGGTCAGACTTGCTGATTTGGTTGATGCATGTCATCGTATCTCATCGTATCCATGCTCAAAAGTTTAATCACTGGATAGTCTGACACATGCTTCAACGCTATAAGTATCTTTACTGAAACGTCGCCATTGTACAATAAAGAAGTTGATCTTCCATAAAACTTGTCTTTCCTATTGCTTACAACATCCAGAATGCCTCTCATACAGTACAGACTCGATTATTACAATCCATCGTCGTATAGCTAGAATATAAATAATATACAAACAAAACAAACATACAGTTATTCATAGTCATTAGAACCATCTATTTTATCGGACCAATACTTTCCAACAGTGTCCTAACAGAACACAGATTAACAAAGGGTGATGGAAAAGTAACGGCAAAAACGTATACCCTTGAAAATAGGATTTGAAATCGCGATTCATTCAAAACCTTGACCTTGTTATTTTTAACCCTTTGGTTTGTTTTAACTTTTACTTAACTATTTCCATTTGGTGAAGACACATGCCGATGTACCCAGTCGACATATTGTGTTGAGTATCGCTGCTGTGCTGTCTGCGTGGCGGTAATCACATGTCGATCAAGCTGTTGTATTTAGTGAGTGAATCAGTGTGCCTTTATACCGCTTTCAGCAATGTTCTTTTACATAAATTCATTAAATGTAGTAGATGGGAAATAACTCTTCTGTCCTTAATTAAATTTAATAAACAACGACCCCAGTTACAAATGAAGCGTCCGTACAATATGTGTTATATATCCACACTCCAACATTAATGTCGAAGTTGGCAAGTGCTCACACTGAGAGATTCTTACAAGAAGAAATAAAAATGTATTCATGGCAAATGTGCTTCAATGTGTTCTTTTGTGTGTCGTCAGTTATGGTTATGTGATCTTTTATCAATTAATAGACTGAGCGGGATCGATTTTGGGTTGTTTGTTTGAGTATTGGCTCTTGAGGACATCCATGTTTTATCCGAATGATCGAAGTGTGCTTTACCTACTACGTGTTATTCCCAGGACATCGTAGGGCTATCTTTGTGATCTATCTCTTATTGTACGTGCCTCCTGGGGTGGTCAGTGTTTGTTAAACGGTAAACGTCCTAAAAGCTCTGCCGAAACATTCTCTTTTTCTCCTAGCATCGCCGATTGTAATGTAATGTGATGCCGTGTGGATCAAGGTATTGGGTATTGGGGTAGAAAACATGTCATTTTTGCAAACATATATCAGCTCTATATGGTATGCTGACGATTCGTCAAATTATTTGGGATAATTTAGCACGTGTTTACTGCTGAGTGTAAGTTCGACGCATGTATTTAAAGACTTAATATGCAAAATCAACGATTTGTTGTTTTCAAATGTTTTGTCATGAGGAACATATCAAGGTAAATGGCAATATATTTAACAACATCAAGTGAAAACATCGAAACGATGAAATCACGGTTGGGGTAATAATAGGCTCGGTGTCATACTGCTCTACCTGATCCCTGTAACTATCACTACAACTATTACCACCCTCTACCACTCTCAACCACTATCACTAGGTACCACTATCACTACAACTATTACCACCCTCTACCACTCTCAACCACTATCACTAGGTACCACTATCACTACAACTATTACCACCCTCTACCACTCTCAACCACTATCACTAGGTACCACTATCACTACAACTATTACCACCCTCTACCACTCTCAACCACTATCACTAGGTACCACTATCACTACAACTATTACCACCCTCTACCACTCTCAACCACTATCACTAGGTACCACTATCACTACAACTATTACCACCCTCTACCACTCTCAACCACTATCACTAGGTACCACTATCACTACAACTATTACCACCCTCTACCACTCTCAACCACTATCACTAGGGTACCACTATAACTACAACTATTACCACCCTCTACCACTCTCAACCACTATCACTAGGTACCACTATCACTACAACTATTACCACCTCTACCACTCTCAACCACTATCACTAGGTACCACTATCACTACAACTATTACCACCCTCTACCACTCTCAACCACTATCACTAGGTACCACTATCACTACAACTATTACCACCCTCTACCACTCTCAACCACTATCACTAGGTACCACTATCACTACAACTATTACCACCCTCTACCACTCTCAACCACTATCACTAGGTACCACTATCACTACAACTATTACCACCCTCTACCACTCTCAACCACTATCACTAGGTACCACTATCACTACAACTATTACCACCCTCTACCACTCTCAACCACTATCACTAGGTACCACTATCACTACAACTATTACCACCCTCTACCACTCTCAACCACTATCACTAGGTACCACTATCACGACCATACTCTACCATCATCACCAGCAAATGCTGAACGTATTGTGTGTATAATTAACCAGGTTGTTGTGTTCTGAGTCCACTGGTGAAAACACCCCCGAAATAATGTCACGTAAACCCTATAGCATTTCAGCTTTGAGAATTCAGTTTGTTTATTTCCTTTACAAACGTCATGTTATAATTGCAGACGCAACGCCAGTGCCTTCGTGGCCCAGTGCTTCAGTCAGCTGTATGAGTGTCCGGAGCATGTTGCCACCAGGGATCGGTGTGACCTGGCTTCTCTGCACCCCGAGATACTGGCCCGGAGAATGGACCTCACATGTCGGCTCTTGGATGGTAAGTAAACCTCAAGTCGGGATAGATGATCTTTGGTGCTAACAATGCGTCCTTAACATGCCGAATACCAGGGTTCGATTCCCTGAATGTGTTCAATGTGAAGGCTGTGATGTAACAGCAAAGGCCGTGTATAAAGAGGTTTTGTTGCCCCCCACAATGCAACATGTAAAATGCAAAGTTTTGAAAATAGAAGCATGAAAAGATTGTTGATGCAGTTCTTCCAACTTAAGATCACTGTTTATGACATATACAATAACACAACATTGGCCATAATTCATTGATTGGTGTTTATATTATGTCGACAAAGTGTGTACTGACATCAGACTCCGCTTACATTGAGCTGTTAAAAGCCTCTCCTTTTTTCTCACAAAGGTTGAAAGTGACTTTCACCTTGTATTTATATTGAGCACTATTTAATGAAATATGTACTTGCCACCCATCTGTCTTTAATATAGTTAAACGCATTCAGACACAAAACACATTATTCCATTAGGCGTCACTGTTTTCTATACATACTGCTAGTATAATAAGCAAGAAGTAGCCTTGAGGCGCATTCCCAGAAGTCACTTCCCCAAAAGTCTAAATTTTAATCAAAGACAGAACAGACCAACTGTGTACTCCGCAGGGAGCTGAGAATATCACTGAAATACACACTTATTCTGTCCTCGTTGTAACAGTGCCACGGGGACCCTGATGTCTGGAGATAATGGAACGTGGCTCGACTTCAGGGACAGTTAACGGTTGTTGATATAATCCGACGTGAATAATAACCTGAAGTTGATATAATCCCTTTTGTCATACTGGCATGTGGATGGTAGTTTTCTCAGCAAATGTGGATCATACGAGGCGCGTTCGCTGGTCGCTGTCATTTCCAGCTCAGGGTTATACATTTGTGGAAGGGAATAGGATATTTCATCATTACTGAACGGTATCCAGTCATGGGTTCTTGACCACATTCCTGTGCTTGATTTTGTCCATCCGAGACATGTGTCTTTATTATTAATATGAACATATTCTTAATTAATATGTTTTTAAAAAAAAGATTGTTATAGCAGTCTGAACACTACCTTCCGTTTTAACTTCTTTCGCAATCAATTTTCTTTTAGTTATCAAGAAGGAGATGGATTGTGTAAACGAAAAGACATGCGCAGTGAAGAGATGCCTGACCACAATCCCTCAACAGTCTGACGTCATGACATTTGCTATATTGAGCCCACCACGGAAAGGAAGCGGTTGCAAGTAAGCAAACCATTTTATTTATCGCTTTCAGGCAGCTATGGAGTTTCCGGTCATATGTAACACTTGCATCGTTGATTATTTTGACATTTACTTGTCTAATGTGCTTTCCATAATGTTAAACCAAATACACCGCTTTGTGAAACAGGGTAATCCCAACACGCGGTCCGCTATAAATAGATTAATCAAACTTCTCTTGAAATAAATCCGCCTCTTTATGTACGTATAAAACTGTCTCCCTGTAGGCCATATTTATCTAGTTTTCGGCAGTTGAAAGGACGATGCAATATTTCGATTACTTGTGCGCATTATTGAAGATGATCGGTGTGATTGAGTTGAAAGTTCTCAAAACGATGATATGCTATCATCCCAGCTACAAGAACCGGATCTCGTTCCTGCTTGCCTTTGATTTCTCGCTACACATAGCTGTGCTCTGTCCCATAGTGGTAGAGAAAATCCCTTTCTCGCTGACTGTTTCCTCCACCTGTTGGTGAGATTTTGACTCAAATACATTACGTTGAACTGAACGTTCGAATATGAAATGAATACGATAATTACGACAAAATAACACCATTTAAATTCCTGATGATATGATATGGAAACCAAGTACTCAGAACGTTCGCATTCTACGTCAAAAGTCCTGCAAACATGGGTAAAATATTTGTTAACCCTTGGCATATCCACACCGATTTGTCTTGTTTGAATATGTTCAGGTCACGTCGGACCAACTATTCATCTTACTAACTCCTGAACAGTTTCATATTTTTGGAAATTTTAGTCAGTAAAGATCTTCATTTAATATATGTTCATTGTAGTGCACTTTGTTATAATATTTATGACCTACTGCTGTTTCCCTTTGCAGCTGGCTGGATCAGGTGAAGGTATGCTACGAGAAACATTTGCGAGGAGGATGTTCTGACGTCATAACGAACTACATGACCGCCATGTTGGAAACCCACAAGCCGCCATCTTGTTCGCCCCAACAATACACACCAATGTCCTTGACAATGTCGAATACGGCAGATAAAATGAACACAAAATATGTCGTATCAACGATGGTATTATATAGTCTATTTTTGCATTCGTGGACATAACTATTTTGGCCTTTGCGAGACATGTCTGTCGCAGGTGATTCATTATCTGCACGTTTTGCTATATGCCACGTGGGCTGCTATTTCATTACTGTAAGATAAGTAACAGCATACGAGACGATAGCAATTATTTGCAGATCGTATTAAATGTACATGACATTTGAATCGTAATATGAACCTTTCTTGCCTTATCGCTTATTGCAAGAAAACCGACACGCATACGCATAACGGTAATTGTATCAATGCCATTTCATGGACAACCTTTGGCTAATTTCACGACAAAGTTTTGTGTGTACATCAGCTGGGCAAACGAACGTTAATTCCAAATATTTCCGCACATCCAAAAGTATTTTGAGAAAATATCTGTACATATTTTATATAATATCTTTTTGTCCTTCATAGTGAAACCAGTTCTGCACAATTCAAATCAATTTGGAGAAATCCAAAGCAAACGTCTTCTAGAACTGCTTGGAAAGTGAGTTCTATAATTTTGCATTTGAAGTCATTCCTCACATGGAAAGTTGACGTGAACCTTCGTTGAGTGTTGATGATTTATCTTTCAAGATGCATGATGTATGACAGATTTACATAAATTTCCTGTGACACTGTGTATGTGGTTGAACACAATATGTTTGATATAAACATAATGAACGATAGTTCCACCGAGGCTTTTTGTCTACGTACTCCTAACGATATTCCAGCCATATTTTGTCAATGAACAAGGTAAACAAGGGAGATGCTTCTATGGACATGCAACGAATATATTGCAATGTATGCTACATCTCGGTCTAGTGAGTGAGTTCATGTTTTACATAGCATTGGTAATATGCAGCCATATACGATGAGAACGTTTCGGTGTAGATGTTAAGATTGTTATCAAGCAAGTGATTACAGTCCTGTGGGTAAAGTTTCGTATATACATATAACTATCTCCCTTGTCCATCACACCAACATCTCATCTTCACTCAAAGAAGTCAAGAAACAAGGTAACCACTCCAAATAACAGCATCCCATATAGAACCAAGAATATATATCTCCCCTTAACCAAAGTTCCCTCTCTCACAGTTATTGAGCACAGACTAGATCACACAAACAAAAGCTATCCAACCTTTCCATAAACCAAAAACGTATGTTTGCGTCAGTAGGATTCGAACAAGCTGCAACATTTCTTGGTTGGTGAACTATTTTGTTGCAGTGTAGGTTTTTTAAGACCAGTGAATCAGTTTCCCATGTATATCTATGCTTCAGTATTGGGAGTGACAACAAACTCTCTGCAAGACCATATGAAAGTTTCAATCGTCAACTCTCTGTCTAAAAATACTCCAGCAGCACCAGCCTTTGATGTCAACATTTCATTTTTGCTTAGGTTAAATCGAGCAAGCTTTTAAAACAGTGTAAACAGTGTTACACGCCTCTTGTTCAGAGATTGTTGATATGCACAACACAATTGATTGACGAAAGTGATATTATATACAATTCTCTAGTTTCTACTTTGCCATGTGGTCCCTTTCATCAGGCGAAGAACTGGATACTCTTGTCATTCGTGAACGCCTGGTACCATCGCTAATTTCACAGTAATCCATACATTCATGGTCTCTAAACGCAGAGATTTCTTACCTACACTGACAGGGTTTTGTCGGTTTCATTTGTATTAATGTCTGTGTATTTATCTAAACAAATTGAATAATTCAATCTGATATCATGATTTGATGAAACTGATACAGACCAGTATCATGCATGTCTTATTTGCCTTTAACACCCAAAATTAATGGAATTTGTTTCGTCATGTGTACGAGATAATGATAATGATATATATTTCATAGATTATATTTCATATTGTATTACGCACAGCTTAATGGATTTGATGGGTTTGAAGTTCCCTCTTTCCTTTATTTGTTTATCATTTGGTTGGTAGAATGTGCGGCAGAAAGGTTTGCTCAATAATGCTCAGTATATGTAACAGAAAGTAGTTGGGACACGTTTTAACACATCGAATTGTTGAGTGATACTGTACCTGTAACTACTGTAATTTACCGGTGAATGTGACTTTATGAATCGACTTGACGCATTTGCTGCGTGTCTTCCTGGTGCCCTCACAGGTTGTCGGTGATCATTCATACAGTTGTCACCGCTGTTTTCTCTTTTAAACCCGATGTAGTCTATTATGGTTATTGTCGTGTGTGGCGTATATTAATTTTATTTCATCACAAACATTTGATATAAAAAACTAACAATGAATATGTCCATATTAACCTTTGTCAACAAAATGTTCATCATTAAATCTTCATTTCGTGTTCCATGTATACACGCATCAATGTAAATATGTACAATGCAGGATGAGTCGCCAATACATTATTAAACAATATCTTATCTTTTCTGTCTTTTTCCATATTTCTAAGCATAACATACTCACATGCAATTATGGAGCCAGTGAAGAAGGTGAGCACTGTCTGAGAATTGAGCCAGCTATTGAACCACTGTCAAGGAATCTACAACACAATGGCAAGGAAAAGCATGTATCAGTTTTATACTTGATCGGGGCGAACCGGTATATTTGTGATGATTAGGTTTGTGCTGTCAATGCCTGTTCACTAACACATGTCTCAAATCTTAAGTTTGACAACTGTGACATTTCTGTGATGAACAAACCAGCCAAACAAAAACTCCCGTATAAGGTTTGTTGACACAAATCTCAGGAGAGTCACATTCGCAAAACATAAAACATTCTTAATCCGGTTTCAATCTGTGTCTCGTTTGATAATGTGTGGTAAATCCACGTGAGTGAAGCATATTTTGTTTGATAAAGGTGATATCACCTTTTCCATAATTATGAGACGCTTCTGCAAAAACGTTTCGTTTGCAAGAATCTCTTTGTGTAACATTGCTTTTCTATTGCTTCGTCTGGTGGATTGGACTTTTCCCTCACAAATCCGGTTTTTCAATGTGTTTAAGTCTGATGTGACTAAACGATATGACATCATTATGCATTAAATATAATGAGAAAAGATGTTTGGATCTGGACAACTTTCAAAGTATCAAAGTCATCATTTTCGACCTCTAAGAAAACAAGTAAAGCTTTATCGATTACTGACGGTATTCGTTCGTCATTCACATCTGCGTTGTACTTTCATGTAGAAATGCTCAATAAAATTTAATTTTGAAAACAAATGTTTTATTTGTGGAAATTATTGTGTTTGTGTTCATTGTTGAGATATCACTTGGCAACAAGAACATACAGGTACTGCTTATGGTCGTCTTGTTCAATGGCGTGGTTGATACATGGCATGGTAACTGTGTAAATCAATGCCCATACTGACACTCACTGGATAGTCTAGCAGACGTGAGCTCGACATCATATAATGTCTGAGTGCAGCATTAAATTACAACAATATGACAAACAAAATATCCACCACATGAGTTCCTCCCACTTTTCAAACACCTGACAATGCACAGAAAGGTGAGCTGCCTCAAGACCACTTTGCAATCGTCGTCTTAGGTCGCCTGACAACGACGGTAAAGAAACCCAGTATAATGAATCCAGATTAAGGTTGATCAATGGGATCCAATCTTGGATTCGAACCCTCGATTTGCGGATTTTGGTTGAGCGTCCAAGGTGCACCTGGCCGCTCATGAGCCGACCTATGACAAGCAAGCACAACCTGGAAATCTGGATTTGACGACATAGGAGCGTTACTGCCCATGGTCTTTCTTCAATACATCCTTTTAGCTAGCTCGGAATAGAAGCGGAAAGTTTGGGGATGAAAGCTAAAGCGCGGGCCACAGGGTTCTGGTAAGCTGCAGTCATGCGACATAATCACTGCTGATCTGGCAAAACACCACTTCCAACAGCCTTCTACACAGAGTTGTACCCTGGGAAGGATCTAGGATCATATTGATGGATGGGTCATCGCGCGAAATGAAAAGAATAAAGTCAAGTGGACCATAATCTTCTCAGGAACATCACTGTTGATGAAAATATTAAAGTTAGATTTTGCCGGTATACCGATCCGGGTTTTGTTTGGACCCTGCAGGTAAAATGATCCGGATTTTGATTGGTCCCTGTCGGTAAATATTATCTGATCGACTCAAGTCTACTAAAGCACATGGCTCAAGTTCACTGCGGTGACTGACTCTTGTAGGGGTCAAAGGGCCAAGACAATTTGTATGATTACTTACTTATATATATGCTTTCTTCCCGAGACCACGCAGTGACTGAAGCAATGATCATAAGAAGTGTTGAATTTTAAAAGAAATATGTGTGATAATGAAATAATTCGTCCGATCGTGTTCTGTGGTAGGTGAAACATTCCCCAGTCTGTACACATGTACTAGGGGTGACAGAGCGGGTCTGAGTATAACTGTCATGTACAACATTGACGGAGCGGTTTGCTACTTATGACCACTTCCGATGTCCACACACTTCTGGCACCGAGGCTGGAGTGTCTGGCTACCTCTGGCGTCTTCCTCCTAGTTATGTCAGACAAGAAAATGAAGCCATCATCATTTGCAAACTGTTTGAAAGACAGTTCTGTATTCATATTTGGTCAGAAGGTCTACATCCGACAGTCGCACGTCTGCGAAATAAAGAGGATGTCTCACGGTCATAGTTATCCATTACGGACATGCATTGTCCAGCTGACTGACCAACACTTAGATGCGGCTAATTTCACGCTACCATTGCCCGATAGCCAATACATATCCTCAGAAGGTTGCGTCGTAGCACTGCATCATAAAAAAGATCACTTTAGAAGAAGTACATGATGGATAATTGTGACAGGATAATTGTGACCCCCTAATAAAGTGCGACCATTATTAAATTTCATTTGAAATAAAAGAACACTTATTAAACAAAAATGATATATTCTATTTGTATTTCATTTCAGTAACAGCTTGTGGTTCGGTAGTGTACTTGTATTGCTTGCTTGATTTTCTGGGTCTGATCATAATGGTTCAAGCATTCATTTGTCAACCGACGCCCTGGGTTCAGTTCCCTACATGAGCACAGTACATGTATGTGTTGCCAGGTTCTGGTGTCATACGCCATCTTACTGCTGGAATATTGACAAAAGCAGCGTACACCATACCATCTCAGCCACACACTCCTTCACCTACTTGATGTTCCGCAAATGTGTGTCAGTTAATAAGAAACTCAGTGTTTATTTCAGTGCCATACCGTATACGCCTGTTGCGACCAGAACTGGGATACGACCAGAACTGGGATAACTAATACGGAGAATTATACGTCTTACTGTCAACTATGTATTTAATCGACAAACAATTATTAAGATCAAAATCAGCTGCACAACTCGTGTCCTTTATTTTAACTACTGATTGCAAAAAATGCCAATGGCAGCGCTCCATAGTCGATGTCCGCCATAATAGCTAAATATAGCAGCGCAGAAAATGTAGAAACGTGAAACTGAAACGAAATAGAATTCATTTTCATACGCTTTACTGTAATTACACTACTAGCTTAAAAATAAGTGAGCGACCAATTAATGTTCCTGGTTGTGGATGCTGAATTTAGGTGTCAGGTGTTTTTCATTCATTTTTTATTCATAATGATTCATTCATTCCCAGAAATGGTTACTGCTCAACTTGAAATATGACTTTCTTGCAATATCTAATGATATTTTAAAATATAGCTAATTATTCCTTTTAACAATATATGTTTATGCCCACAAATAGAACCAGAAAATTTATAATGTGAATGGTATTGGATTTTGATTTTATAGTTTAATAATTATGCTAATATGTGTAAAAATATAGTAAGTTGTATCTAAATATCGGCAAGCCTGGCCAATTTTTGCACAGTGTTTTATGTAATAATACAGTAAATAGTTTTTTTTAAAAAAGAACGGGGAATAAAAGAAAATTAAATTATGTTATAATTATTTTTTTAATGATGTTACACCCATTCTTGATGGGTATGTATGTATAACAATTCAAGTTTGTTTTGGGGATTTAAGTTATTTGTGTTATGCCATTTGTGAGAGTATATAAGAGATTGGTATGTTGCTT